TCAATACAATACTCAATGTAAACAATGAATGTTGTTATATTACATGTGTGATGATGATGATGTTATGTTTCATATATATTCATTGTGATGATATTTCAATTCAAAGTCACACGAGCCCCCAGACGTTTCCGTCGTCTGGTTCGGGGGTGTGACAACTTCGAACAAAATAAAAGCAAGAAGGTCTTCTTTATTTACCTTTCTATTTGGATATTTCGAGCATCTAAATGGAATTGCTAATTATATAATAACAATAAAGAATGTGAAAGAAATATCTCCATACATAGTAACTCCATGGTAGAGCCACACGACAACCACTCGTATAGAGTAATACCACCTGCAATCGCAAACACGATAGTTAGTTAGAATTCAGTGTAATCCCTTCACACACAAAACTGAATCTCCCTTTAGCTAGCAAAAGTGCAACAACGCAAGCTTATTTGGAGCATACCATGTTCAAAAAAATAAAATATCAAAAAATGAAAGAGACTATTGTAACATCTAGCCAATATTATACAAACGTAGATATACTACCAACAATAAAAATGGGTCAGTCATTCCCACTCATCAACTCCGAAAAACAAGTAGTTGATGAATTTTTCCCCTCTCTCCATTAAGGAGATAAACACATACCAAGTTCCTAGTACGACGCGATTGCTAAGCCTCAAAACTTTTAAGGCTTAAGAACTTCATCGAACGATAGACGATTTCACAGAGTAATAAACGCAAACAAAAATAATAACACAGTATGTATGAGGTTGACACAATCATGATGATCGGCTACGTCCACGGACAAACACGAGAGAGAGTTTTATTGATTTATATCAAATGTCTTTTTGATGATACAAGTTACACAAATTCAGGAATATAAATACTAGTTGTTTGACCTAAAACTATAAATAATACCAAGCCCAAAAAGCTCTGACAAATCTGGCCCATGACGAAATCAATGTGAAACTAATATAGGAACTAGCCCATGAAAAATTTCTTCCTAGGGCATTGTCCCCCTCCCCCGTAAGGCTGAATCAGTCTCTACAACTTAACTAAAAACTATTATGGAACCACCGATCCAGATGGCCACATTAACACATACGAATGACACATGCACTCACTCAAATTGGAATAGAGGTCCTTGGACCAACAACTTAGGAATGAAGATCTTCATATCATCCTGGACTAGCAGAAGCAGTTCTGCAGACTCCGTAATTAATATCTCCAGATTAGCAGATCCTTTTCAGCAAGCTCGCATCAACAACTTGCATCAACAACTTAAAGAGTTTTTTAGCAGATTTGGATTGGTTTAGCAACATTAGATTTTATTAGCATGTCTAAACTGCTTCATCAACTTTGCCTGGCAAATGTTGCTTCAGTTGCCTCGGGTCAACATGCTAGTATTTTATTTTTATTTTTATTTTTTTTCCAGTACATTAGATATTCTTTCAACAAGTTATTAATAAGTTTTTTATTAGTATTTATTTGAACAACACATCAACACAATCATCCAACTACTAATGGCAAGAAAGTATATAGGGGGCATTGCAAAGCTCCTATTATCTGACATTTGCTTTTATCTTATTACACCGTTGATAAAAATAGGGAGAAAATACTATATGACATCTATATCAAATTTTATGATTGTTTGACTTCCAATTTTCGAGACTCTTGAAGACGAAGATTTATTTAGTGATGTGATATGACACGATTTTTTGGTCATCACTCATAATATTGATGGCTTTAGTAATTTTATCTTAGAACTAGATTATTTATTGTTCATTCTTTATTTTAGGATGCTTCATATTTTTAGCATGCTATTACTTTCAAAGATTTTTGGTGTATCATGATTTGGAAATAAAAAATGTTTAAATCTTTTTTTTTTTGATAAAGTGTGATTTGATCTAGGATTTCACTTCAGTGGTTATATGATGACTTTGAACTTGATAAATATTTTGGGACCTATTAACTTGTATATTTGGATCTCATTTTTCTGCCTTAGAGTTGGTTCTTATGAAATAGAATACCCTTGATGTTATAGATTACATTGCCTTAAAGACATTTCAACCTTTGTTTTTCATTATGTATCATTTTTAATATAACACGAGCTAACTGGAAATTATGTAATTTAGCCTTATATCACTGTTTGTACTCCATCACATTTCTAAGCATTTAAGAGGAGATTGTTTGAGCATGAAATGCTCTACAATGATAAGTGATAACTAGGTTAGAATATTCCCTTTGTGTAAAGTATTATTCCTTTCTCTCTTAAAAATAGAAAGGGAAACTAGTCATTTCATAGCTAAGCATTATCAACTTTAGATAGCTTCCAAAATATAGTCTTTAAATAGGAGTATGTGACTATGAATTCCATTCCATAACCACTTGTTTTTCATGTAATATCTTTCTCTTTCTATGTATGAAACTATCATTAGAGTCAACATTGTATATCAGTTTATTTTTCCGCAACTAGTCAGCCAAATTGGTTCCAACAATGACTAACTAAAGTATGATTATTTACTAACATTACGTGATTCACATGAGGTATAACGTGGATCATGTCTATTAGAAAGTATCGAGAAGAAAGTTCTACACCTGAAAGAGAATTTTACGTATTTATGGTCTATGATCGATATGGGAGGATGTATTAAGGTAGACACTACTTAATGCACGACGATATAGGTTGGTTAAAGTGGAATACATTCGCATGAATCATATGACAAAAATGTTTGTTGCAATCGGAAGGGAATTTTTCACATGGTGAATGTTAGGCCATCTATGATGCATAAATCTGAAAGTTACCGAGTAAAAAAAAGGAATGAGAGTAGGATGGAAGTAGCATAAATAATGATGTTGCAGTCATAAAATGTCGATTGTGGCAATCATAAATACATTGTGACTGGCGTTGATCAATGAAAAAACGAGGGAGGGATGATGCAAGGACGAAAGGAGACCCAAGAAGGAAATGAGAAGATAACGTGATGTTAGACACGAAGGATTTGACGCTTAACGAAAGCACGAACTCCAATAGGAGGTTATATACGCTTAAAATTAGAGTGGTAGAGTAGCACTGGTTCATTTTTTTGCATGTCTTAGTACAAATTCATTCTCCTTTTTACTTGCTTATCTTTTCCTTATTTCTCCATTTGTC